GAGATTTGAAATAGTAGATGTGCTGATGCGATCCTGTGCCAGTCGAACGGTTGCAAGGTTTGGAGCTGTTGGAACTTCGAGGTGCGGTACTGGACGCTATCATCCCATTCAGCAGGATAAGGCTCTCACACTCCTTCTTCACGGAGCTCACTTCTCGTTGGCGATTGCATTGCAGGCGAGCCTTCCAGTTCATCCATTTTGGTGCGATGAGGAATGTAGTTCCTTACCACCTCTTTCCTCACCTGTCGGAGAGGATCCAGGTGTGAGGTCTCACGCATTCCGAATGGCTCGGTCGCTTTCTGTTTCCCTTGAAGGGTCGTCCTCCGGAAGAATTCGGGTTTGTGGCCTTTTTCAGCAATAAGTTGCGGCCATCATGCCTTCAATTGGAGAAAGTGTCTCCTGTTGCGGCTTGGAGCATTTACTTGGTGTTCGTTCACTTTCTTTGGCTTATGTCCATCAGGATTCTGCCCGCCATGTAAGCAGATACTTCTTGTTGGTCCGACCGAGCTCGAAGATTGAGATTCGGGCTATTGCGAGATGTCTCTCACCTTGTTGTAATTCCTCTGGCCAACTTTGATAGTCAACCGGCGAAATAGCTCCTGTCCGGCGTCCGAGTGATGGCTTATATACTCCTTCGAACTGATCACATAATTTCCCCTAAAAGTTTGGTCGGAATTACTTCTTGTGACTCGTCAGAATCGGAACCATGGAGGCTTTTTCCTTCTACGATCATGTCGATGGTGACCTCAGGAATTCAATTTCAGAGAGGTCTTCTCTTTGTTGCACGACGCTGTCGTTTGCAGGTTCTAGCCGACATTCGTCAATCTTATTGATACGACTGCCTTAGGCGCCGCGGTGGAGAGCAACAACTGCATTCAGAGAGCCGACAGCAGATATGAGCCGCTCACACTGGCCATTGAATGAGCCTACCTGCTGTGCTTGCCTTCCTCTTTGACAGCAATTCACGCAAGTCGGCAGACCTGGCGAAAAGATTTTTGTGAAGGTTGCGGATGGACCCCCTGCCCTTGGATGGGTGGGCTATGAATCTTAATCCATGCTGGTCCCTTTTGAATCTGACGGGACCGTGTCATGTTCTTGAGATAGAACACGAAGAGCTTCGCGTTTGGTTTATAAACACGAGCCGAGGCCTCGTTTTGACTGATGCCGACTAAATTCTTGTGGATTCTTTGTCCTGAAATTGAACGCACACTTGTTGGTGTGCGTTTTTGATGTTGAAACAGACCCACTGAGGGTCGTTCTTTGTTTGAACGCACACTTGTTGTTGTGTGCCGTAGGATTGAAAACAGACCCCTGTAGGGTCGTTCTTTGCCCGGAACGCACACTTGTGATGTCGCGTTTGCGCTTGATAACCAGACCCTGAGCAGTCGGCGTTTTGATTGAACGCACACTTGTTCGCCAAAGTGCGTTTGTTGAGACCCAGACCCCTGAGGGTCGGGTTGATGACGCACACTTGTGGCTGTGGTTTGTTGATGACCCAGACCCTGAGGGGTCGGGTCTTGATTGAACGCACACTTGTCGCGTGTGCGTTTGTGTTGTTGAACAGACCCTTTGAAGGGTCTTGTATTTGACTGAACGCACGTTGTGACGCGTGCCGTTTGAATGATGACGTGCCTTGAGGTACGTTTTGGCGACGCACTTTGAGGCTGTGTGCGTCTATGTTGAACAACGCCGCCACTGGAGGGTCGGTTTGAGTTGAATAACCCGAGGCTCATAGTCGGAGTTCATTTCTGGACACGAACGTGTGCGTTCTGGAGCCCAGAAACGGCACAGTTCGGGCACAGGGCTCAGAAACGCCAGTCTTTGCGTTGGTGCAGTAGCTTCCGCCCGGGCTGTTTCCGCAAAGTGATGCTCGCCGTGCAAGGATCTTGCTCCTTCGTCGAGCCAGCATTTTCTTAGCTGTTTCAATGCCTTCGGCCGCGGGGGCATCCGTCAGCGTTGGTATGGGCTTTCCTCCGACATAGGTCTTTTTCGACCTTATTTTCCCGTAGTTGACGGGGCAGGAATCTTCAACTCGCAGACGCCCGAGTTTAAGGTCTTCGGCAAAGGAGAGGGCTTTATTTGGCGCATCTCAGCAGTAGTTGTTGACCTCCGTAGCAGAGTCCTCGTGGGTATCACGCCTAGCTTTGGGCTAAGGCGACCCAGAGGAGAGGACCTCCTCATACTGGCTTTGTCGAACTCTACGACCGAGAGTTTCGACGGTGGTTCCTGTGACAGGAAACGTCGGATTCGGCCACCACTTCTTCTGCGTCAGAGAAGTATCCCCAGCCGGCAGTCCGCCACTTTTGTTCTGTTGCGAAATTTGCAAGTAAAAAGACAATGAAAGAAAATTGACTGTATTCCTCAAATCAATTAGCAATTTGGATTCCGATACAAAAGAGAGGAGATGAATTGATTTCCCCTTTTTTTAAAACTGGAGTTCTTCTTGTGGTAGCGGTGGAGTGCCTCCTTCGATTTTCGATCGCCGGTCGAACTTCTCAATCCGTTGACGATCACCGTCCTTCTTTCACCTGGAACAATCTGAAGTTGCTTGATGCTTCGGTTTAGACTCTTAAACGAGGTGTAAAGAACTTCTGAACGAGTTAAGAACTCTGATTAAGATTGTGAAAACCAAATGTCTGGTTTGATGTGATTATGACTTGCGTTGTAAGCGCCTAATGTAAGAACTCTTATAACGAGTTTAAGAACTCAGAATGAGCTTAAACTCTGTAACAGAGTGTTGGAACGAAAATTCGGGTTAATTCGCCAATGTGCGATGATACCTTTGATGAAAGATTCCTTCGGATTTGATAACGATCGTTGATCAGTCCTTCAGATCTCCTGAAAATCTCTTCCTTCCGATTAACTCAACTGCCCGGAGATTTGATTGAACCTGGGCTGGTTTTGATACCAAACTCCCCTCAAACTAATTGCGGTTTTAGATCTCAGAAACCGATGAGTCAACCTATCAACCCACCAACCCCTTACTCAGTTTGAGGTAAGTGGTTATTATAGGTCGGTGATGTGGAGTGTAACCAACCCCTCATTTCCGCTCTCTTTGTGGGGGAGAAATCCTCCTCGAACGTGGATAACGTTTTGAGGCGTTCGACTGACCGTAGTTGAACAAGTCAAAACGCCTCAGTTGGCGTTATGGGCTTTTCTAACTCTGCGTCCAAGGCTTGAGATGCCAGAGTTAAATCTCTGTTAGAGATTTGAGACGCACAGGCCCAGTTGTGCGTTGAAAGCTCAACTCTAGCGTCCAGAGTTTTGGCGCACATAGTTGCATCTATTAAAGAACTGCACGTTATGTGTGCTCTTGTACTTTAAACTCTGCGCTTCAGAGTTCGATTGTCTGCCTGAGGACACACAAGTGGTGCGTTTTGAACTTTAGGAAACGCAGGCAATGACTTTCTGCGTTTGAGAGAGGTTGTTGCACTTTGTAACCTCATCCATTCTATAACATTTGCGAAGGCTGATTGTTCTATTGATCCTTGCCTGTTATAGGATATGAGCAGTCGTCAATCCTGTATAACTCTCACTGCTTGGTTGCGAAGGCTACATTAATAGAGCTTCATCAGTTGTCGCGTAAGCGTCGCTCGATTGAACTCTTCTCGATCTACGTGAAAGGTCCTCTATTTACCGCTTTCGATTGTCGACCCGAAAGCTATTTGATTTGTAGTTTCAGTTGTTGGAGTTAGACCGGAATCAACATCCTAGTGTTTTGAAGATGAATATTTCACCCATAGCTCTCTCCCAAGCAACTCACCAACTAAGTCCAACCTTTGATT